ACTGTTCAGTGATATCTCCTTCAGAGCTCGGTAGTGGTGGCCCTGTGGAATTCTTGACCCAGTCCCTATCTACAGTATGAGCATATCCTGCAGTTTCTCAGCAAATGACAAAACTGTTTGAAGATTTTCTAAAATACATAACCCAATTATAAAACTGATGAGAGGACACAGCTCAGTGGATCCAGATCATTGTACGGTGTTTGTTCATGCCACTACAACGATGCTTGTGAGCCCATGACATGAGTCCAGGGCTTAAGAGGAAGCCAGCCCATTGTGTTTCTGGAGCTTTCAGGAGTAGCATTCGTAACTTTACGTAATTTTTTTGGACTGATGTCATAGAAAAACCAACACGGTTTTATAATGGAAAATAGTATATTTCAAAAGGTTAATGATGCAATTTCCTGAAATATTTTGCTTGTTATTAATACATAGTTTTAGAGGTGGATTAGTAGCTGAGGAGTTGGAGCAATGAGATGGCACTGCTGGGATCTTAATTTAAAATCCAGACAGCCGGCACCGATTAAAAACGGGTTCTCAAATTTAGTAAGATGATGGTTTCACCCCAGTCGCCAATTACTACGCAAGAATCCACTCATATTAAAGGAAAATGTTACTTTCATTTGGAAAGAATTCCAGCTCTGATAATTAAAAAAAGAAAGAGTTTTTAAAAATATATATATCTCTGCAGCAGAGTGCATGGGACATTGTAGCACCCCTCGTGTGGATAAAAGAGATCACGTGAAGGAACGTCAGCATACTTCTTTGATATCTCCTTCTGTGGGTCATTCTAGAACACGGGATGATGCACTTATTATTATGCGTGTTTACCCTTGAAAGCCTGAGGCAGGATGGTCCTACCAGATTTTTGCAGTACATTCCAATTGAGAAATTTGTGGTGTCATTTTGCAAACTGAGACCATGACGAATGATGTCGCGTAATTCTTCACGTCCACTGTGAAAGAGATGGGGTATATTTTTATGCTTATACTCGGGGCGGCCACTGGATTTAAACCGTAAACATCAGCAACAAGTGGTGAATGCGGCACCGCTAGGCCGTGTCACCGCCCTTTTGACATGGAAAATAAATGCCCATGTCTCTTTGCATGAAGCAAGAGTCACGTAATACTTTTTTAAAGTAGCAATGCTGAGTATCAATTTAGCTTAATGTGCCTGCCCTGTCAAAATATATATGCCGGCAAGACAAGGAAAAACAATGTAAAGTATCATTTGCTCATTATTTCTCACCTGCCAAAAAGGTATTTTCCCCATTGCTGCCCATCAGTGAGTCGCATGTGAAGCAGGGCAGGAATTCATCCATGGCATGATCAATCAGCTTCTCCCCGGTTTTCCAGAGACAGCGTTCCACCGACTTTAGTCACCTGATACGCCTGTCTGGACGGCATGCTGCCAGCATTCTCACCCACGTGGCATTTCTAAACCAATTAACCGCGTTAAAATCGAAAGCATAAATTATGCCCCAATGGCTTGTTTTGCTTGACGGCAGGAAAATAAACATAAAAAACACGAATACTGCCGTGGCGTATACCGGACTTGAAATCAAGAGTTTTCCAGTTTGATTTCGATCTCCCGGCACGGTTATATCAATTCATAAATAAACATCACGTTAGCCGAAAAAGTTCTTATATACGACCGTATATATGTCGTCTGAATATTTATAGATACGGGACTGCACATGTATGTATGTACTGTATGTTGAACGTCTTTCGCACCATATGTAGTCAATCGTGCTCATCGGAGGTGTGAACCGAACCCATCCGAGAGATCCGACACGGCTGGCTCTCATTGCGTCTCTCTGCTTGCCCTGGGAGTGGCTTATCTCGCTTTTGTTAACAAACCACTTGCCAAACGTAGAGTGGTAAGGGAGAGTGGCAGGGAAGTGGAGGAGGATTTGGGGGGGGGGTAGGACGGGGAGGTTAATTGTAAGGAGGCGATATATTTTCTAGCATCTCCCGAGTTTTGCTTCTCTTTTATCTATGGGTTTCTGTGTCCATGGGGTTTGGGCTGGAAATGTCAGGGTAGAGTTGGGGTTAGGTTTTGTTAGGGATGAAGGGATTGTCTAAGACAGGGGTGGGGAACCTTTTTTTCTGCCAAGGGTCATTTGGATATGTATAACATCATTCGCGGGTCATACAAAATTATCAACTTAAAAATTAGCCTGTTATATTTGGTCAAACATTTAATTAACTCGCCCCTAATGTGATGGCTGGAACTGCTTCTCTTTGGTGAGCTGGTATTGATGATGTTGCTACTCGCAACTGCTTTTCCAGGTTTGCTCCTAGATTTATTGAATTTCGAGTCCTGCCTGCGGTTGCTTTGGCAGGGCCACACCAAATTATTTCGAGGGCCTCATACGGCCTGCGGGCCGGACGTTCCCCACCCCTGGTCGAAGGAAAGGACGCCGGATCTTCTGGGACTCGCGTGTTCTTCCCTCTCAACGTATATACCCGTGGTTTCCCAGGGAGACCAGTTGGTAAAGAGTTCTGTACCAATCTTGATTTGAAGCTTTCGTGACTGCAGGAATCCAGACTGTTTTAAAACAGTCTGCCTCAGCAGCAGACCATGCTTTCCCACCTGATGATGGACGCTCGTGTTGCGCCCGAAACGTCGTGATTTATTTTATTTTATACCTACGTGACTTTACCGAAAGAACCAAAGAGTATAGTTCCGTACCAATGCATTGTAGATGGAAGGTCCGCGCTCCTTACACGTGACCACAATGGTTTACCTTGCCGTGATGTTAAACATTTTGAGGAGGGTGTTATTCCGTGCGGCTTTATTCCCATCAGAGACGTCTCGATCTTTGGTAAGAGGCGGAGGAGGGGGGTGTTATTTACCAGATTTTGAAGTGAGACGGTGATTGTGGAAAGGAAGCACTGGAGGTTTGGATGGACCCCAGGGAAGGGGGGGGAGAGCGTGTTTTTGTTTGCCGTATAACTTTTAGTACCCATGATTTTACCAGGTGATTTTTTTTCTACCGTTATGAAACGTTATTCGTACTTTATTTAGCTTCATCCCTCCCCGTCTGACTTTGCCAATGATTCGGATTAACTGTAAATATGCGCGCACGATATTATTTATTGTTATTCAATCTTTTTCCTTACGTATATGTATCACGTGAAAAAAATATTGCATATATCGTCCATGGAACTGGGAGCCAATGATACAAAAATGGCGTCTGTCTGCGTTAGAGAGAGGAAATCTGTCTCCTTGCTGAAAGGTGCTATTTCATTAGCTTCTGCGCTGACGTTTGAAGCCTGGAATCCATCATTGTCAGCTCACCAGTTGTTTGGAATCCAAAACGTATTTGCATATGGTATGCCGTGCTTGGCAACATGATTGCAAGTTTCCTTGGGAATACTGCATTTCAAAATAATGAACAGTTTTTTTGTTGATTGGTTTTAAGGATAGCCCTGTGACTGTGTGCGTGGCTTAAAGACAATGAGGCTTGATTCACGTGTTGGCAAATGTTCATTTTCGTCCAATTTATGGTGAATTTGTGCCAATGTCTCCATTACCGGCAGTGGGGCGAATTGCCAAAGGCGATGGGGATGTGAATCTGGCCCGCGGTGTGTTAACAAACCTTGTCTGCTGCCAAAGGACAAAACCCACTCTCCTTAAAGCAGCCTTCGTTTGTGAACTCCACATCGTGCACGTGCAGATTTTTTACACATTCACTGTTTAATGAGAGCCCCCCCCCCCCCCTCGTGCCATGCACGATGTTTAACATCGATTGTGTCGTGCCTCCCACCCACCCACCGCTCCCTGAGGTTTTGGTAGCCCCCCCCCCCCCCTTGGAACGAGGTCACGCTAACTGGGTTGTAATCATGCATGAAAGTATGTGCAGTTAAGCTCTGACAGATGCTAAATAACGTCTTCGTATATGGTAAGACTGCAGGTTCGTTAAAGCCCTATATCCCCAAATGTTCACATATTTTTTTTATTGGATGAAATAAAATCTCGCTACGTTTTTACTTATGCCGCTTGCGGAGATGTATTATTTCTGTTTCCATGGTGCAAATAATGCGAGGAATTTAATGGGAGGATTTTGTAAACAACATAGACCTTTGGGATACATGTAATCAGGGCGAGGAGAAGATTGAGATGGGTGGGGCGCGGGTGCAGGATGGAGAAGGGCCGGTTGCCGAGATGGGCGTTGGCGTGGCACCCAGAGGTTGATAACCAAGGGGTAGACATGAAGCCAGATAATGGCATACTCTAAGAGCGGAACTCAGAAGTCAAGTGTCAACTTTGCCACAGCTACAGTATCGACTGTTACTGTTCCATGAACTTATTGATTCCTCTAGTCACGTTGAGGACTTGGTCTAACAGACTGTTTCATCGCAATCACACTGTGGCCAAGCACCACACCGCAGATTTCTGCCACTTATTTTGCTGCAACATTTCCCTTACTTCTCCACTTTGGAATTTCCTCGCATTGTGTGTTATAACCGTGCTCAATTCTCGAAACATCGCTTTCCTGTTGCACCTTCAGTCGTGCTGTTTGTTGCTGGCCGCTTGAAGTTTTGGGCCTCGTGGCCTGTGCTCAGCAATGGAGATTTTATTCAAATAAATCTAGCGGAAATGTGGAAGTTGATGGCGTGGTTTGGTGGCATCAGTGGCATTGGTTGTGATGTTCTTTGACATTGACCTTTGCTACTGGCAGGAACCTCCTGGTTACACCAGCCCACAGGGGATTATTGTGTCCGTCCGTCGTGCATCCAAAAATGGGAGGGTGGAAAGGGGAGGGTGGGGAGGGGCTAGGTGGGGAGGGGAGGGTGGGGAGGGGCTAAGTGGAGAGGGGAGGGTGGGGAGGGGCTGGGTGGGGTGGGTGAGGAGTGGTGGGTGGGGAGGGTGGGGAGGGTGGGGCTGGGTGGGGAAGGTGGGGAGGGTGGGCAGGGGCTGGGTGGGGAGGGTGGGAGGGGTGGGGCTGGGTGGGGAGGTTGGAGCTGGGTGGGGGGTGGGGCTGAGTGGGGAGGGGCTGGTCACCCCGTGGTGCCCTTATAAAACTCAACATTTACCCTACTCACGCTGGCTCGTGCCCACCCTCACAGTCGGGCATATTTGCGGAATACACCACGCCGCCGTTGACCCTGGCCATTGACCGAGCAACCCAACGCTCCTACCAGCTCCCTCCCTCCGCAGGAATGTGTTAATGCGTTCGCCACCTATATTTTTTTTCGCAAGTGTTCTTTACAGTTTTCTGAAGTGTCAAGAGTAGCCGCTCGCTCTTTACCCATCCGCTTCGCTTCTCTCCGTGTTAGCTCGGTAAGCCTCCTAAGAGTGGAGGATGTTGCCACGCGTATCAATACCACAATTTCAGAGAGGGCGTTATGTTGCAGGATAGCGACCACGCTCCGTTGCGCTGGAACCATATCTCACGGCGCACGTAATCCAGCATCCATCAGAATGGAATGAATTATAATCTCCCCTCCTCAAGCCAGATTTTAGCCTCGGACTCCCAGGACCCATGGGCTGATGCAAAGTTTTAGCCAATGCGGCTACCTTGCTGCGTGTCGTACAAGTGCTTTTAGGCTCTTGCTCATCAACGGAAGAGACAGAGTAGGTGTGAATAGCCGACTTGATGAGGCACCTCGGTAAAGCAATCCTTCCCGATGAATGAAACGATCGTTGTGTTCGGCTATGTTTTGCTTTTTTTTCTTCCTTTTCCCCGCTGATAATATTCGGAACATTACTCACCAAGGTAAGATGCATTTGAAGTTTTTGGGCCAAAAACAGATATGATCTCGAAATATAAAAACACAGCAATCTAATCTGACCATCTCCGCCCACATCATTGGCACAATATGCTCAAAATGTGAGCACCTGTTTTCGAAGCAAAAGAAATGGCTCATTTCCCACTGGACCTGGGTGGCCTTGTGTTACTTGATGTCATTGCACATTTGTGAGAAAGCCACCAGGAAGAGCAGCCCATTCTCTTTAATTTCAGCCCATAACCTTGACAGGGATGTCCCCTGCCACTCCACCGTACCCAGACCTCGGTCCCTTTGGAAATCATCGGCTCACCTATTGACAAGGAGCTGTTGTGCTTGATGGAAAGCTCAAGGATTTATGCACCGTTCCATCAAGCCCTTACCCTCCCAACTTCTTACTCACCCCGCCACCCACCAAACCACACCGCACCCTCATACCTCACCCTGCCACGAGTCACCCTCCATAATCCCCAAAAGGAATAAGGCGACCGTGCGATGGACGCGTTTGTGGTTTCACACACACTGTGCAAATTGCGGACTCAAGATATAATTCAGGAAATTGGTTATTACTCGAATTATATTATAAAATCTTTACACGACAATTACTTGAATACCATCCTGCTTTAACAAGGAGCTTAGGAAGGGTTTGACTGTTTTTTGGGGATTTTGTGTTCCCAGGATACTGCTAGCAAATTTTCATATATTCAAACGTTATCAAATTTATACCCATGCACAATATTTGGGTATTTCGAGCACTTTGAGTAAAATAACCACTTAGAAAAGTGATCATTGTGGGGTCGTTTGACTATACTTCATCATGCTGGTCAGTGTAGGTTGGTGAAAGGTGGAGGGGAGTGGTGGGGGTGATTCTGGAACGGTTCAGGTATCAGCACTGATGTTAGCTATGGCTGGGAATCTTAAGTCTGGTTGATGGGTCCATAGGTACGGCACGCGAACCACTGTTCCATCAGTCCACCCCAGTGGGTAAAAAGTGATAATCGTAAAGATGTCGTTTTTCCAGTCGTTAGCGTATACAAATTGTAGCTGCGGGTTTCCTTAGATAAGGCAATCGCAGGTCTCACGATGTACGGGCATCTACACCATTAGAGGCGCTCATTCAACCACAGTCAGCAAACAGCAGACAGCCCACAGGAACTCGCATTGGAGACAGCAAAAATGCATAAATTGAGATGACTAATCTCTCAACCAGCCTGTCAGGTGCTGCGGTGGCTTGTGCACACCCATAGCACGGGAACAAAAAGGGGAAGCGAGGTGTGTTTAAGGCAGGACACCTTCAGAGTCGCAGGTGAAAACTCGCACTGCAGTGTCCGAGACCCATTATCCAAATGTGTTCAGTTTTGTTAATGACTGGGCCTTTCGGAATTTGATCATTCAATAACAAGGACTAGAGCTTTGAAGATACAGTGGTAAGTTTTTTTAAAATATATTTATATTATGTGTGCCTATGACAAGACCACGTGGAATGTGACTAATTCTCGTTAGAACTTTGCAGGGTTGAGCTTCGGTAAGTGCTTGCATGGGTGGCCACTGTGCGCTATGTGGTGTGCAGCAGCGAGTAGTGCAGCAAGCTACATTGTTGGACTGAACTTTAATCTCCCCACTTCTCTGCTCCCCGACTTCACTGACCTGTGCTGACCAGCATGGTGAAGTATGGTCAAATAATCCTCGTGATCTGCGTATAATGCCTGGCAGTAGATTAACAATTGATATTTTGTTGATTTTCTTTTTTCATATGGAATTAATTTGAGTTATAGTTATGCATTTCTCTATTATGGATTTCTTTCTGAGTTGGAAATTAAATCTTGATAATTAAATTTTAAGTTTAATGACAATTAAACAAAAATGTCAGCATAAACTTTGTAAGATGAGTTAAGCCTGACAAATGGAAAATACAAGTCATTTTCACGAAACCAAATGTTTAAAAGTTTAGCCTGCTCTCAAAATGTTTGGAAAATAGTACGTCAAGCGTTGTATTATTGTTGGACTGGCTCCTGTGTGGGATTTGGGATTTGTCAGTAAGTCTTAAATTTCGGCACAAATCCTACAAATGGAATTGGGCTAAAAGTGGGACCATAAATTGAACCCAACACTGCCCCTCCAGCCTACCGTGTAACTGGTTATTTTCATCCCCCACAGTTTTACACGCTCATTTTAAATGTATCGATTTATTTAAAGAATTACACTGGCATGGAAAATGCCATTAACCTAGAGGTTAAGGCATGAATCATGATGTGGTGATCAATGACGCTCCGTTCCAGCTATTTTTTGACACAGTGGTGTTAGCGTGCCGTACCTATAACCTGGAAAAATAGTGAATGTTCTCTCGACGGTTAACGTGCAACCAAGCAAATAAGTAAACTCGCCAACTCGCTGTTAAAAAAAATCTGCAAGCTGAAAGATCTGCTGCATGACTCAGCTATTTTGAGAAAATGTCAATAAACAGAGATGTTTTTAAGCGCTGCATAGCTTCTTTTTGTCTGAGAGGGTTCCAGATTTTTTTGGTACAATAAATATTATCACTGGCGCAAAAATAATCGCTCAAATTGCAGAACAGTTTTAAAGTGGTCTTTTCAAAGTCTACCATTGTAAATCTACGTAAGTGGATTTATCAGTGGACGCAGCTATTCCACTTTTACCAACACATAGCTGAGAATGAGGGTTTTCTCGCTCAGCACGAACAAAATTGTTTAATGTCAACAACACATTAAAATTCCAGGTGGCATTCTCATTTGAAAAATTGTCAAACAGCCAGTTTACTATTATCAATGTAAATTTATGTGGCTCTGTAAATACGGTGACTTATAGTCCTTTTTATTAACTTCAATTTTAATGGAAGGGCTGATGTTTACTAGTTATGAACCATGATTGGGCCGCCTTTGCATTCGTTATAAAAAAAAATGTTAAACAAATGCCTCTGCTAAATAAAAGCTCCATCAATCCGCCCAAAAGAACTCTGTAGTTGAATTAATTCCCATCTTCATACGCGATGCGATGTCTATGTTGTGCAGCTGCACTAAGGTGGGATGTGCAGCAAATTTAAATATCGCATTACATCAGCGCTATGGCGAGCTACACTGCAGCACTAGGGCGTTACCCTGAACAGCACAGGCATCAAGGGAGAAGCCAATAGCAGCTTCTTAACCATTAACTGCACACAAACACACAACTGCTGCCTGTGTGAAGAATGCCCAAGCGCCCTAGAAGCCAGACACTCGCCCATTTGAACCCAGCTCGTGTACATTTTTGGTCTCCAATAATTCAGCACTCAAAATGCCCTTTCAACGAGCTCCCTGCAATGTAAACTCCGGTAAATTGCAGGCAGCTGCGCCGATCATCGAAATTGACGCTGCGCGCGAGAGGGTGGGCCGCCTCTTAAAGCCGACGAGAGGGCACTTTTTGCCGCACTGGAGATACTGCAAAGGGTTAATCATTGGCCCTGCCTCGTCACCTGACCCCACGTTCCCACTCCCTTAATGCAGACTTGTTCAACACAGAGTTGCCACTGGATCTGAGCGGCATTTAGCGCTCGGTCCTGAATGGTCGGGCGGTTTCCTTTCGTCCGATGTTCTTTTTTCGGGGAGCATAGCTGTCAAGAAATCACAAGTATGCCCGCGACGCTGCTGAGATGCCTCTGCGTATGGTCAGAGTGTTAAACCTCTTGAGCGGCATCCACTGTGGATGTCGTCTCTTCCACATCTTCCTGAGAAAACTACTCTTCGGGTAAAGTACCAAAGTTCGCCGTTGTTTATGGAGCTCTCTTTCGTTAAGATCTATTTGCTCAATAGAATGCAGAGCGTTCAACCGATACAGAGCAATGGTAATCACGGAAAGTTTTGATAGTTGCTGGAAACTGTGAAATATTTGTCGAAATAATGCAGTGCCACAACTTATACGGGCAGCCTAAAATTAATAGGTGTACTCAATAATAATGTCATTTTAACTGCTTTGGTAATTCACAACTGAAATGAAGAGCTTCCCACGCAGTGGTGGTCAACGTTTTTTTTTTGTATCATACTTCACCAGGTTGGCCAGTGCAGATTGTAACTGAGGACCAGTTCAGATCTCACTTCGCCACCGATGTTAGACACGGGCAGGAATTGAACTCAGGTGGCCGAGTTCATTGCGCAGTGCGCAAACTCGTGTGCCACCGCTCCCCTCCCCCCCCCTTAGCTATTCTATTACTACATGTGCCATGATATTGTTAAACAACAAAGAGATAGATATGTATAAAATACATGATAGTAACCACTCATTGAATCATACCCGTGGACCAACCTGACACTAACTTAACTGAATCCTCATTGGAATGTAATGTTTCCATTGAACTAATGAAACATTGCATATTCTAGTTGCATTGCTTTGATACTAACATTAAAAAAAGATGTTCATCGTGTTCAATGAAAAAGGTAAAGTTAGCTGAAAAACAAGCGCACTAGCGAGAAGGGCTTTGAGAGGTCCACCAGATGCATAATATGTTCTTACTTGGTGCCAGAGGTGTTGACTTATTTAATTGCTTTTTAAAATGTGCAGCATGTGCCCAAAAATGTAATCCGCATGTATATTTGGGTTTCGGTATGTCGTCTTTGGCGGAATGTTTTAATAGTCAACAGAAATATGCACACAGGCTACAGTGAGGGAAAAAAAGTATTTGATACCCTGCTGATTTTACACGTTTGCCCACTGACAAAGAAATGATCAGTCTATAATTTTAATGGTAGGTCTATTTGAACAGAGACAGGATAACAACAAAAAATCCAGAAAAACGCATGTCAAAATGTTATAAATTGATTTGCATTTTAATGAGGGAAATAAGTATTTGACCCCTTCTCAATCAGAAAGATTTCTGGCTCCCAGGTGTCTTTTATACAGGTAACGAGCTGAGATTAGGAGCACACTCTGAAAGGGAGTGCTCATAATCTCAGCTTGGTACCTGTATAAAAGGCACCTGTCCACAGAAGCAATCAATCGGATTACAAACTCTCCACCATGGCCAAGACCAAAGAGCTCTCCAAGGATGTCAGGGAGAAGATTGTAGACCTACACAAGGCTGGAATGAGCTACAAGACCATTGCCAAGCAGCTTGGTGAGAAGGTGACAACAGTTGGTGCGATTATTCGCAAATGGAAGAAACACAAAAGAACTCTCAATCTCCCTCGGCCTGGGGCTCCATGCAAGATCTCACCTCGTGGAATTGCAATGATCATGAGAACGGTGAGGAAACAGCCCAGAACTACACGGGAGGATCTTGTCAATGATCTCAAGGCAGCTGGGACCATAGTCACCAATAAAACAATTGGTAGCACACTATGCCGTGAAGGACTGAAATCCTGCAGCGCCCGCAAGGTCCCCCTGCTCAAGAAAGCACATATACATGCCCGTCTGAAGTTTGCCAATGAACATCTGAATGATTCAGAGGACAACTGGGTGAAAGTGTTGTGGTCAGATGAGACCAAAATGGAGCTCTTTGGCATCAACTCAACTCGCCGTGTTTGGAGGAGGAGGAATGCTGCCTATGGCCCCAAGAACACCATCCCCACCGTCAAACATAGAGGTGGAAACATTATGCTTTGGGGTGATTTTCTGCTAAGGGGACAGGACAACTTAATCGCATCAATGGGATGATGGACGGGGCCATGTACCGTCAAATCTTGGGTGAGTACCTCCTTCCCTCAGCCAGGGCATTGAAAATGGGTCGTGGATGGGTATTCCAGCATGACAATGACCAAAAACACACGGCCAAGGCAACAAAGGATGGCTCAAGAAGAAGCACATTAAGGTCCTGGAGTGGCCTAGCCAGTCTCCAGACCTTAATCCCATAGAAATTCTGTGGAGGGAGCTGAAATGTCGAGTTGCTAAACGTCAGCCTCGAAACCTTAATGACTTGGAGAAGATCCCTCCTGAGATGTGTGCAAACCTGGTGGCCAACTACAAGAAACGTCTGACCTCTGTGATTGCCAACAAGGGTTTTGCCACCAAGTACTAAGTCATGTTTTGCAGAGGGGTCAAATACTTATTTCTCTCATTAAAATGCAAATCAATTTATAGCATTTTTGACATGCGTTTTTCTGGATTTTTTGTTGTTTTTATTCTGTCTCTCACTGTTCAAATAAACCTACCATTAAAATTATAGACTGATCATTTCTTTATCAGTGGGCAAACGTGTAAAATCAGCAGGGGATCAAATCCTTTTTTCCCTCACTGTATGTGCCCATCCCTGAGTTTCAAGCTGAAGTGAGCAACTGTAGTCTGCAAGCACTGTTGACTTCACAACAATATCCCAACCCTTATCCCTTTGGCACTTTGGACCCAGTGTTGGTTTGGACAACAAAGACCCTGAGTCCTTCACTCTCAGTCGAACTATGTCTACAATGAGTTTTGTGTACGGTATTGCTTTTTTGTGATGAACGGGGACCCGTTTTTTTTTTTTCATATGGAGTGCTCTTACCAATAACACATGGAAATCCGGCAGCATTTGCTTAACACGCCTGATCTGCTGTTGAAACCAAAAAGGTTGAATCCGGTTCTGTGTTTGCTTCCTTTAACAAATGCTGCTTGATGATATTGGTCTGGAAAGCCACATACATAGGCTGTTGTACAGTATGTGGTAATTGAATGAAGCACTTCTTATATCCAGTATAGCTATACTCTCTAGATCCCGGCTTAACTCACAAAGTCACAACAAGAATATCACACCGATTCTCTCGCAGTGCAATCCCTAAACACACGCTGCCAGCAGATGTTTTGAAGTTACTTCGTTGCAGACATTTTGATTTCCCAAGTTAAAAAAAAGAATGTACCGTGACTTGGCGAGGCTGCATTTGGACAAGAGTAATGAGTCATCTTCAAATTGAAAGTTGAGACCTTCAGAATATTGATTACTACTGGAGGAATCCGATGAGCTACAAAGCTCTTTTTTTCTCTCACAGATATCCACCAGAGGTTGTGACCTTCGTTTACAGCTGCCTCTGCTGATCTGACCGAAATCTCTTGAGCAGAGCTGTTTGTTTTGGTAAACCTCCGATTCTTGTGAGAAGTCGTTCCCGCATTACGGCACTGTTGCGCGCATTGGAAGTGAACGCGGGATAAGTCCCCCCGGTTTGTCCTCATCGCAGAAGCAATACCTCAACTAACATGCACGACTGAATGCAACTGTTGCGTCCAGCTGTATTTTTGCCTTTCATATCTCTCCCGAGTCCCACCGGGTACCCATTGAAAGGGCTTCGGTTGCAGTTCTTCACTTCCAACAGGCAAATACTTGGGTGCATGCGTTTTTTTTTTAGACAGAGACTGCTGTGATCAAGAGGTCACTCGCTACACTCACGCTTCTGGGGCTGTGCGACTCACTCTGTTGCAACCATGCATCACTTTTGAAGGGGTGAAAGTTGCATTGTTTTTGTACAAGCAACCCTATTATTTGGGACTCGTTATGTAAAGTTTTCTAAAGTAATCGTCTTGAAAAATTGGTCATGCACATCCATGATGTACATAACGTACATACATTATACATGTTGATTAACTGTGAATCACCCAACCAATAATATATATATCCATTGTAATTTATATGGCTACATAAACCACCACCCCACCAGAGTCTTCGCACCTGACTAACCCACAATGACATCACATTTACCCCCCCCCCCCCTCTATTTAAGACCGAAGCAGGAGGAGGATTTCTCCACAATTTTGGCTGTCGCCTGATGAGGCTGGTTGTAATTACCGGCGAAATTGTAAATGTCGTGGGTTTACTCTCCAACACACCGATGTGCTGATCTAGTAATTAATTGGCATGCTTTATTTACATGACAACCCTTACTAATTGGCTGTGTTTCAGGTGGTGGCCGGTTTAACGACATTTATAGTTTTAACAAAATTGATATTTACACGATCTCACCAAAACCGCTATTATAGATCTTTACTTCTAAATGCCAAACATTTAAAATTTAACGATTCATGTACGGTACCTTACTTGTAGCCTGGTGATAGCCCATTGAGAATACTGTGCAATGGGAGACCTGGGGTTCAGTGCGAGCAAGACGAAGGCTCTCGATTGTGTTTTTATTTTTATTATTCTTGGTTGAGTTTTTCCTTTTGAAACTGCACAGGCTCTCTCACCGTGTGGGAAGCACCCACGGCTCAGTGAATAACAGCAGTGTGCAAAGCATGCGATGATTCACAAACCTTAAGGGATAACATCAATCAAAAGCGAACATGTACATGTAGTTATCAAAATTAAAAAGTATGTTTAAGGTTTTGCTCCGAGCACGAAGATCCGTAATTTCTAAGGCAAACATAGTCCAATTCCCATTAAAATACAATTGAGAAAGGACAGTACAGTACTTAAAAAGGTTGAAATATTATTCCATATATGAGGTGCTTCATAGTAGGGGGGTATGGTTTCCAAACGTGTGGTATTCACTTCTTAAACATAACATTATAGTGAACAACTCAAAATTGCAAGAGTTTATAAATGTAGTTAATAAACAGGATAACATGTGTGATGTCTTCTCAGTCAATGCTTTCAACTGAAACTTAAACCACTGCGTACCTCTCCGATTTGGCACCATACGGCCGCCAGTCTTGTTTCAAAGTTCTGTTCACTTAGTTTGCTTAGATGTTCTGAAGATAGTTCGTACATTCAACATAAAGGTTGAACGTTTTGAGGCAAGGCTGTGATATTTTTACCTTGGGAGCTCCCTCTGAGGCCCCTTTTCCTTTTAGCC